GCTTTGATGATCTGTCTAGATCTGTCAGTGGGGTGTTTAAGGTCTTGGCAATTATGATGTGGCTATTTCTCTCTTTACTTAGATCTAGTGGGGTTGGCTTTATGAATCTGGACACTTCTGTGTTAGGTGCATAAATATTTAAGATTGTTATGTATTCTTGTTGAATTGCTCCCTTTACCATTATATAGTGACCATCTTTGTTTTTCTTTACTATTGTTGATTTAAAGTCAATTTTATCTGATATGAGAATGGCTCTACCTGCTCTCTTTTCATTTCCATTTGCATGGAATATTTTTTCCCATCTTTCCACATTGAGCCTGTGTGCATCCTTGTGGTTTACTGTGTCTCCTGGAGGTGGCAGATAGTTGGGTTGTTCATCCATTCAGCCGGCCTATGTCTTTTGAGTGGCATATTCAAACTGTTAACATTAAGAAATAGAATTGATATGTTAGTTGCTCTTCTGTTCACCATGTTGGGTAATACTTATTGTTTTGTTTCTCTTGTTGTGCTATTATTTTATAAGAGTTGTGAGCTTTAGCTTTTTTGATGATCTTATAGCGGTCAGCATCTATTGTGCTGATTCATGTATAATGCAGTTCTGACTCATAAATTCAAGAAATGTACATAGATAAAGAAATAAATGTAGATGTAAATGTGTGCATGCATCTATCAGTACACACATACACCCCCCAACACACACACACACACACACACACACATTCTCCAGTTCTGTCCACTGGCATTCCAGTAATAATAAAAAGCACAACTAGCACCCTATCTGGGCTGCTAAATAATATTCTCCACTAAAAGAAATCAAGGATCTTTAGAGAAATGACTGATTCCAGCAGTAGAGTTAGCACAGGATGAACTTGGATAATCTTTTTGTATCAGACAGTAAGGACATATTCAAAGAATGATGGAGATATGTCAAAGGACAACAAAGACAACTTGAACAGACTTCCACTGGCTGTATCTGGGACAATTTGAGTATCAAAATAAACAATTATATAACAGTAACAGATTATAAACTACTAAAGATTATAAAAAGCCATTAGTTCAGACTGCAATAAATAAATTGAAAGTTTAATGAGAAATTCAACATTGACATAGCTTCAAAGTACTTCAAAACGTTTATTAATTACAAAGGGAAAAAGAGTAACTTTATAGTGGAGAAGCCTAGAAGACACCATTTTAATTAATTTTAAAAGTGAGCAACACCAGGAATAGGACCAATCAAAATTGTGTGCCACTGACTAGGATGCAATGAGAAGAACACAGAATCATTTCTGCAGTATTCCTGCCAAAGATACAAAATTAGGACCTAATTGTGAGGAAATATCAGATAGGCTAAAATTGAGAGACATTCTACCAAATAACTGGCCTGTGATCTTCAAAAAAGTCAAGGTTGTGAATGTCAAGGTAAGAACGAAGAACTATCCAAATCGAAGGAAACTAAAGAGACATAACAACTAAAAGGAATGTGTGATTCTGACTTGGATATCCTTTTGCTATAAAAGATATTGAGACAAATGACAAAACTGGAATGAGGTCTAAGGATTAGATGGTAGTTGGGTATCAAATGTTAATTTCCTGATTTTCATGGTGGTATTTTGATTATGAGGAGAGTGTTCTTGTTTATAAGAAATCATCCCTAAGTATGCAAGGGTGATAGCATATCAAGTCAGCCACTTACTCCCAAATGGGTCAGGGAACAAAGAGTTCTGTATCCTCCAGTTACAACTATATGACTGCAGGCGAGTTATTTTGTCTTTCTACCTCCGTTTCCTATCTGTATTACAGAACTAGTGATAGTATCTATCTCTTTACACTGCTAAGGGATTAAATAAGATAATGAAGGTAAAGTGCTTATTTAGTACACAGTAGAAGTTGGCATTTTTTCAATACCTTTATATATTAGCTACAACTGTAGTATGGAAATTATGGGTACCATTTCTTCTCATCCTTTCTCCTACTTTGGCTCTCTTTGGGTGTACCTTCCCTTCTGCCCTACGCTTTCCTCTCCACATTGATCTCCTTTCCATATCAACTCTTGCCACTCCAACACAAAGCTTCGTCCTCCAAAACACACTGAGTTGGGACTCAGATGATGTGAGTTAAGGTCCTTGCATGATTATAATATCATAATAGAATATAATGTTAT